CCCAACTCCCGGGAATCCTGTGTGTAAAAAAAACAGTACGGGGGGGGGGTCGAATATTCCCAGCACGCCATCAGGGGAAAAGGGGGAGTAGTATTCATATTGAGTAATTGCGGAGGAGGAAGGCGGAGGAGCAATAGGAGGAGGAGGAGGGGGATGTGGATGTAGAGGATGAGTGGGATGAGGAGGAGGAGGAGGGAGGAGGAGGAGGAGGAGGAGGAGGAGGGAGGAGGAGGAGGAGGAGGATGAAGAGGAGGAGGAGGACCAGGAGGAGGAGGGGAATCAGCGCCAATCATAATATTATTAAGAAGGCAAGTCGTACTACTTATCGTAATGCGAGGTAGTAGTATTACTAATAATGCGGGGCAGGATGTCAATATATGAGTAGTTTTGATAGAAAGAGTATTCGTAAGGTTCAGCGTGCGAATAATACTTACACTTAGAAGAGCAATAAGCACACTACTACTACGTATACTAAGAAGACAGCGACGAACACGTATACGACACATACGCAAACTATGAGCAAGCATCTTATGAAGAAGGAGAATACGACGAACACGAGCACGGCAAATACTAACACGAATGGTCCAACTAATAAGACGACACGCCAGAACAATAGGGATAATATTAAGAAGGATAAGGACATTGATATGCACAATGCCAATGTGACGAATAATACTGTTCATATGATTAATACGAATACTATCAAGAATGCGAGTAATACTTAAAATGGTACTAAGAGCAGCATGGTAAACTCGTACTAGCACCAATAAGAAAACGCATATGAACCATATTACTATGAATCATCACACTAATACGGCACATGCTATGACGAATACGAGTACACATACTGCGAAAACGAATAAGCATACTACTACGAAGAGTATTTGTATTACTAGCACGAACAATAATAATACAACCACCTAATATTATACGTACTTGTTTTTATAGTAGTTATCATACGTATACCAATACTATGGCGAACACTACTGAGACTATTACGAATACGACCAATACTAAAAATCATGTTCCTAATATTAGTGCTAGCAATACTAGTAACAGTATGATCATGATCGCCATCGTAATCGTAATATAACATGTAGTTGTAGTAACACTACTACACATACAAATGGTTATATGAGTCAGAAAACTCATAACACCAATACTCGTACTAATAGAGATGGTAGTATGATCATATGATCAATACGACAAAGAATACGACAAACAATATTTAAAACAACATAATGATAGCAATAAAGTGAAGAAGCGAAGGGGTAGGAGGAAGAGGAGGAGGATGAGGGAGGAGGTGGAGGAGGAGGAGGAGGTGGAGGAGGAGGAGGAGGTGGAGGAGGAGGAGGAGGATGAAACAGAAGAGGAAGAGGATAACTAATTACCATAATACTTATAAGAAGAAGCAGCATAGTAATACTACTATGAGTTCTAAGGAGCAGAATAAAACGAGCAATGCTATTCAGAAGAAGAATAACAATAATAATCGTACAAGGAAGGAATACTCCTAGAAACATAATAAGCACAACATTAGTAATTGTAGTAAAAAGAAAAG